TACACATCAATATGATCAAAGTAAAAAGACCGAGCAATGATGAAATGAGTAAATAAAGACCACTACCAACTTGACGAGTATTTTTTTCAGCAAATGTACCGATGGCGAATATATTAAGTAAAATTCCAATACAAATGACAGTACTAAGTATACCTACACTGATCTGAATGGTAGTTGTCTGATTTAGAATATTAGGAGTCCTCCTATGTACATGTGAGCCAAGAATTGTATCAAGTGACATTGCATAACCACTTGTTGTGAATTGACAAATTGATCCATAACTGCATGGTTCGCAGAAACAAAAGGAGGCAGTTGGACATTTTTCGTACGTTTGAATACATTTTCCTCGATTGCTACATTTATTCCATGGACACGACAAAGATCCTGAATTAAGATTGAAACAATTAGCATAATTTGTCCTATCACAAAGACACATGAGTTGTTCATCATAAAAGCATAGAAATGTTTCACCAGATTTTCTTTTTAAACATGGTTGTTGATAATATTTAACACGACGCAATGGTGGTTGAGCAATTACTGACATATTGAATAATTCATTTATCGATCGGCAACGACGAGAAGGATGAATCTCGCCACTAATATTTTTCCAACCATGGTTATATCTCTCTTCATATTCCATCAATAGGTAAGTGTCAAATTCATCAAGACTTTTATACATTTGAATGAAGATTAGACCGTGAAGAAGTGCAAATGTATCCAAAAAGACAGTAATATTTGATGTTTCACGTGATAAACGATGAAAATAAGTTGTAGACAACGGCGTTCCTTCTAGGTTATAAACATGAATCAATGTAATCTTGAAGATCGAAATATCAATATCTTTCGCAAATGATATATAAATAATTGCTGAAGAAACTTCACAAAAATCACCGTTCCATCCATCATCACAGACACATCGAAATTGAAATTTCGGATCAAAGCGTGCATCTCTTTGAATGCATCGACCATGACCATTGCAACTATGCTTAGTACATGGATTAAATGGAATAAGACATCGACGACCAGTACGATTTAAAGGACAAATACAAATGTCTCGACCAATATCTATATCATATCCAATACAGATAGCTGTTTCTGAACATGAACTACAATTACCATTGTAGATTTTAGACCATGATGATATTGTTGTTGTTAGAACTGTATCAGCAATCAAAAGACGTTTTGCTATTCGATTTACAGGTAAGAAGTGAAATGGAACATCAAATTGCCATGAACTACGTTTTTCAAGTGTTTGTGAAGTAAAACTATAAATATGTACAGAATAATTGGATGATAATGATGATGATGACCATGATATATTGATTGGATAAAGTAATGTAAGATAATATTTTGGTAAACATAGAAATTGTGGTTCATATAAGAATTGATTGTGTGATACAATGGTTGTATTTTGGTGTACCAACAAAACAACTATTTTGAATGATGATTGATGATCAAACGAGTCTGTAATGGATGGTCGAAGAATAAGACTAACTCGTTTACGTTGATATTGACAACGGTCACCATAGTAATGATCCGAACACAAGCAATAGAATCGGATTGAACTACTTGCCGAACGGACATGCAATCCTTGATTGCACTGCTGAGTATTAACATGTTCAGTTATCTGTTGCATTGTTAAGACTCGATGTTTTGTCACATTTGAATATTTTTCTAGCTCATTCATTGTAAATGCTGGATGCAAGGACAGATTAATTAAGTCGCAAAATAGTAGATGTTCACCTTCCGAACAATATATCCAATCTGATCGACATCGGCAAATCTTCTCACCACATTCTATATATTTTCCATTACGACATCGAAATTTCGACTCATCACAAAATGGTTTTCGTCCATTATTGATCCAAATGCATGCAAGTGTTTCATCATCATTTTCTGGACAATCTTGATGACAATCACATACTTGGAATGGTGTTATGCATATATCAGAATTACGACATCGATATCGATTCATTCGATTATTCTTGTATTTTATTCGGCAAAAAGCTCGTTCATCTGTTGATCCTACACAATCAATATAGCCGTCGGCGGCTTTTGATCGAGCTAAACATATTGGTAGACTAGTCACTATATCCAAGCAAAAATGTGATTGTTTGGTGCAGAATCCTGATTTTGGAATGCTATTTTTACAACCTAATTCGTCGTGCCCATCTAGACAATGCCAAGTATTATCACATTTTGTATATGGTGTCAAACAGCGCCATTCATCCATTGAACAATCTGATTCATCAGTATTGTTATCAGCGTCAGAAAGATCCTCCAAAATACCATTGCAAATTTTACTGAAAGTTATATTTACACGATTGGATACACCACGAAATGCACGACATTCCATGCTGTCGAACAGTAAACAGGATTTAGGTCCTTTTCTATTGCAATCCAGTGGATCGGTTTCATCACTTCTGTCAGAGCAATGGTTCTA